ATCATTCGTATCATTTCCTGTGTGTCACAATCGCGAAATCTTTAGAACTGAATTCGGGATTCTTTTTAGTACAGTGTATTTTGGGTTTAGCGCTTCGCATCTTCAACTGTGACTCGTATCATTTCGCTCTTGTATATACTTAATGTGTTAGAGCATAGGTTCCCAAAAGTGACACTTATGCAAGATAAAAAAAATCAAACGCCCACCACCATAAAAAAATATTCAAAACACGTATTTTTCATAATACTTAAAACAAAAGTCACAAGAAAAAATAAATTATATACGTATACTGTAATGTCACTACATTACAGTATACGTATATAATTTATTTTATATAGATAATTCAGGTTTTTTTTTTCAAACTTCTGGGACAGCATCAACGCCCCTCCAATTGATTCCGAGGCCCTTACCCTGGGGTTCTTGAGCGCCCACTGGAAGGGACCGCTTGGGAAACGGTTTTAGAGTATAAGGTAGACGTACGACAAGCTCAGGTGGTAGCTCAGTGTGCTTCTCAATTGAGAGGTCGACAGCTCGAATCCAAATGGTGGTAAGCGACACATGTATTCATGACAACTACAGTGCCAGTCAGGGCTTTAAATTGCAAAGATCATAATGAACACTACGTCAACTTAACGTGACCTGTTCTGGTTTTATTTTGTTTTTGTTTCTTTTTACACAAAATTCGTTTTTTTTTGGAATTTTGTTTTTTGTTTCTTTTTTTTCACCAAATTCTGGGAGCACGATATTAGTACATAAATATGGCTGTATACAAAATGACCAAAAAGTAAACTTGGGCGTAGTGTTCATTGGAAATATCGAGGTATAAGTTGACAAGTCTCATGGCCCTGTAATTTCACCTGCACACTTACTACTCAAAAATGGAACGCAGTAATGCTCACATTACTGTTTGACGCCAGAAATACGTAAAGGGAAGTATTGCCTCCCTGGACGAAATCTTTCACAAGGAGCTCTATTGCTAATAAAATTCCTCGATATAATTTATTATTCGACCACATTCCGTCAGGTGCGGCGTAGGACTGTTTAACGCGACAAAAAAAAAACAAGAAAACAAAAATTTTCTATTAAAAAAAATGTTTTTGTTGCTAGAATAGAACTGCCACGCCTCTATGCCGTCATTAAAGTGTCCAGGAAAGGAAATGCTCAAGTGCCTGGCTGAGCGCATCCGATAGCCTGCCTGGGTCAGGTCGGCTATAAATCTAGACATATAGACCAAACGTACTGGCCTGCACTAACGGTGCTTTGCACGTAGATAAAACGACGTGATAGGTTGAAAGATTGAACGCTATTCCTACCTCAAAGTTTTTGTTGTGAAAACATGGAGCATTATGTTTTTTGGAATAGTAATAAGTTGCCGTAGCGTGCCATCGAAGCAGAGACCTTCGTTCTATATCTGAGGGTCGTATTCCAGAACTCTACTCAATACTCAAGTCAGGACTTGAGTATTGCAGTGAGCACTGAAAATCATACTCAAGTCCTTGCCATTAGGGTCGTATTTCCAGTGCTTGAAATCATACTCAAGTCTGCTCAAGACCTGGCTTGAGCGTTGAGTAGAGTTTTGGAATACGACCCTAAGTGTCCTGCCGATGTGGCGTACCGTCGATTTAAATGACTTTCGCTGTCACGACCAGACGATGTAACGTTTTCAATATCACGACCACTGATGTTGCGACTTTGAATCAAATGAATCTCATCCATTATACCTCTTTCCCATTGGGGTAGCCAGACTTTTATTTTTATGACACCATGTGATACAACGAACAAGTCGTGCGCCTCGTGGTAAACGACGTGCCTGCGTATAACTGTTCCAGTGCTGCTCAGAATTTTAAATCTCAAACATTTGACGCATACTGCCACTGCGCCCGTGACCTAGAGATGTAAGTTGATAGTCGTCTTCCTTGTTAGAAAAAAGTCAGTTAAGGCCGCAAGTGAGGAGAGAAGCGTTGTGTTCAATAATGTTGTTATCACTTATTTGTATGTATAGTCGAAAATGAAATTTGAATAATGAAAATAAAAACAAACATTGAAGAACTTGTATAAACAATGAGACATATACGGTTACTAGGTTAGGACTGCCACGCAGAGGTCCCAGGTTCGATTCCCGGGCCAGGAGAAATAGGTATTTGTATGGCCTACACTTATTTGTCTCGTGAGTTTGGGTGTAATTTATGATTGTTTATCTGTGTGTCCATGGCACCCGCGACACAGAGTTTCCCTAGTGTGAGGCTATGTTGAGTGTGTGCGTTATTATAAATACATTTATAAAATTTACTCCGGCAAGGTGCGATTTAACAGACGTATTACGGCAACTTTAAACATTAACTTTTAACTGCCTCCGTGGCCGAACGGTTACCATGCCGGACTGCCATGCAGAGGTCCCAGGTTCGATTCCCGGGTCGGGAGAAATATTTGTATGGCCTACATTTATTTCTCTCGTGAGTTTGGGTGTAATTTGTGGTTGTCTACGTATGTGTCCATGGCACCCGCGACACAGGGTTTCCCTAGTGCGGGGCTATGTTGAGTGTGTACATTATTATATTATTAACAATCGCATAAAAATTAAACCATTTTTCAGAAATAAATATATTATTTTTCGTAGGAGGTTTGTTGTAAGAATGTTGAAGTCACCGTCTTCCCTAATGGGGAAGCATTTGCATTATTGTGTACCGGTTTGGAAGGGTGCTGGTGAATTTAAGGTACATGGGACTTGTCACCTACGCTACAGGGTGACGGGCACAGTCGCAGTGCCCTTAATCCCAGTGGCACTGCAACTGTTACGGATAAGCGTGTCGCTTACCACCAGACTCACGACTACGTATAATATAATTAAACGTCGAGTATTGTCAGTTTGTAGTTAACAGCGCTTTGGACTAAAATTTAAACATTGGGGTTGCATGGATTAGTAGTACCTTACATGTTCCAGTGGTTAAAAGGAAAGCAGTTAAAAAAATCCTTATTCGTAGCATTCTAAACCTATATACAGGCCAGGTTTTTATTAAAAGAATAAGTGCGCCTTTGACCCCCATCTCACCTTAGACAAAGTGACGATAAGGTCGACGATGCTTGTACACCTATTCACTCTCGCCTTGAAAAGGTCCAAGTTACATCGTTCAGGGAATAAGTCTGCAGACAGGGAATTCCACTTCATAGCCGTTTGCTGTATAAATGTGGAAGGTAGTACGTATGCTACATCACGATTTGAGATTAGAGAATGCAGGAAAGTTGAAGATGCTATGCTATCATGTTCACGTCATACGTAACGAAACGTGCAATCATAATCGACAAGTATCGAAAACGCATGTTCCCAAATCGCCATGCCAACGGTTACCTAGCGCAGTTGCTATGCCAATCAACACTTCCTTGCTATAGCGAAAATTTCTTCGTCTATTTTATTATTCATTGATCTCTTAAAAAGAGTTACTATTCCCTTAAAGCGCATCTTCACATAGATCATTTTTGATCGTTCTTTTTGCTTAGGTGCGTCGATGTGCTTTTGGTTTTTTGATGAGGTGGTAATAGATTACGTGAATATATGTGAAATAATTTTTTAACAGTTGCTGAGCCTATTGTTAGAAGATACTTAACAGTTCAAGCTAACAATAGATATGGCAACGCACATGGTGATCGTACCGGTCCTTGTTCGAAAACTTTACTGTGAGGAAAAAAAATTACGTCGTATAGAAAGGAAAACACTACGACTTTTATGTAATTTATTTCTATCAAGTTCACCCTTCGTAACACGTGTATTATCGATTGAAGCCTACCTCTAAGGTGAATGACGTCACTCCACAATAAAGAGTACATTTTTCATTGGCTCGTGGGACAAAGGCGCTCTGTCACTAAATGCTCAATTATTTTCCAATTTTACTCGCTCGTTCTTAATCGTGCAATTGGCCCACCATTTATTCTCCCTGTGCGACTAGAGTAGCTATCTCGTCTGCTACCTTTTTTGTTTGACGCGCTAAAAGAATTTTCAATTGTTAACTCCAATCTTTAAACAGCAGAAATAAACGCGAATTAACTTTCTTGTTACGACACATTCCCTAGCTACTTACCGATTCTGAAGGCCGAGTTAAATTGTGCATTAACTTTTTCGTATAAACCAGTTGATATGCAAGTGTTTCGTGTGCGGCGCGCATGCGTCATGGTTCATTGCCTTGGCTGAGGATCGCCCTAATATGGCATGCGAGATCGAGTTGCGCCAACGCAACTGCCATTACCAACCATACGTCTCTCACGACCACACACTGGTAATACTAGACCTCCGTACGTACCAATACTGGACTGGAAAAAGGGTTCCTAGCCATCGCTAAGATTTCGTGCCATAAAATTGAAAAGCCAATAACAAAGACTGAATCTGCCAAAAATGTGTTGTTCGTGGCTAAGATGTCGCAGGCGAGTGGCGGACTCCGCCGAATCCAACGCCCCTGTACAGGCATTTGAGAAACAACTGCCCATCGAAGACGCTACCCAAGAAGATGTGATCCAAGAGCTAAAGCCACGTAAGAAATCAGCTGATGTGCACAGAGTTTGTAAGGTTGTCCGTTTCGCTTATTGCACGGATCTGTTGCGATTCGCTTTGGTTGTATATCTTGTATTTATTTATTTTTATTTTGTTTGCTGCGGTATTACGTTCGCGGTTATGATTCATGAGATTGTACTGAATACTTGAGATTGTTCGCATTAACAAATTGTAGTAATATGTTGCAGAGCCTGTATAAATTATTGTTAAAATCGATGACAAATACTTTAAAATAACAGTGTGTATTAGGTCAAATTCGCAACGGTACATTGTCACCACGCTGAAGGCATCACCGTTCCGAATTTGCTGCCTTTGTTTTTCGGTAAAGGGAATTCGTAATGCGTTTCTGAAAAAAATAAATAACATTCTGGAAACGGTAATCATAACTGATCCACCTTTTCGTATATCTTTCCTTCCTTAGGTAATTTATTTTGATTATAAAGTTTATACGCATCCCCAGGGTCAAACTTCGTGTCGGCGCCTGCCGCGCGTATAACGCGGAACAATCAGATGCGTGTGGCGAACGCGGGCGGGTACACGAATGGGCATGGTGGGGACACGACGGGCCGTCGCGGCGGCGCAGAGAATGTGCCTCCGCAGCCACAACCCAACACTAGGATTACGCAGCAGGTATGAGTCTACAAATTCTTACTTGGGGAGCACCAGATAACCGTTGATATTTTAAAATTAGGATCTCAGTCTCGTTCACAAAATCCATACTTGTACACCTTGATCCTATACCCAGTTAAGCTTCTCAAATATTGCAACGGCACCCTGACTCCGTGAAATTAAGGTTGAAAATTGGTTAACCGATTTTTAACGAAACAAAGTAATTTGGAACAAACTGGCGCTGAACTACGGTGCTACGTGGTAATATCTCCTAACGGAGTGTGCTCAGAAGCAGGTGTGCCAACAGCCGATGCCGGCGTCCGGCGGCGGTCGGTCGCGGTCCGGCAGTACTCCAAGCGCTGCCTCCGTACCCCATGGCATCGGCGCCCCCTACATGCCCACAAACCAGCGTCGAAACCACAAGGAGGTTCCTTACTCATCCTTTCATTTCTTATCACCTATAATCCTTTCCTAGACCCTGTACGTATATTAGTAGTGTAACATTCCTTATCCTTGTTCCTTGTTACCATCAGAACTCTGTCCTCGGCTTTGAAAATTGAAACTTATGCGGGCACTTCATGTGTAGTATGGAATCTATAAAGAGAACTTCTCGCATCTACTTGGGTTTACTTCTATGATAGCTTTAGCTAGCTGGGAATGGTTAACTCAGTAGAAGAACGGTTGCTTCTGCTTTTGAGAGACAGACGGTTCGAATCCGCTATTTTCTACTATTATAAAGCTCATGGTTGATCAATATGGTTCCTGTTTTACGACCCGCAAATCATAGGAAGGCGGTTAAGATGTTAATGCACAGTATTAATAAACAGCTCTCTATGTTTAAATGCGTATCGGCTAATATGTCACTTAGTTCTCAAGATACTTTTCAAAGTTTCGTGTTTGAATAGACCATAATAACCGTCATTATGGTTAAGACCATTTCAAGACCCTGCACATAGCTCAACCGCTAAGTAATATTTATTAATAAGCGGATAATTGGAAATAAAATTTTGATAACTATCACGTGATGAATAATCTTTGAAGTGATGATAATTGAAGCATTGGGTATAAAAAGGGCGTATCACGTAAAAGTGAGATTCGACAAAATTGAAAGTAAAGTTTTCTTATCTTATATCTTTTTAATATATTTATAATAATATATAAATATATAAACGACTTATTTATACTTTATTATTTATTTGTCCTATGATTTAGCTAAAAGATTCAGGTGTTATTGTTATTTTAAAACAGTAAAAAACATTTGAAAAAATTTTTTTTTCCTTGTGTTGTCCGCCCTTGTTGCACCAAATCGGTAAATTAATGGGGTGTTCGTTTTATAATTGGATTTTTAAGGAAATAAATTGTGAATCAGTGTTATTTAAAAGTTACATTGAAAAAAAATAATTAAATGTATTTTTAATCATTTATTTAATTCGCTGGATTGAAATGAACCGAGAGTATCATCTTCATGTGGTCATCCTCCTAGATCCTCCATGTTGAGGATGAATTCGCTAGTTTCAGACATTTTTACATTAAAATAAGTTTTTACAAACTGCAGCTGGTAACGGGTCCGAAAAATTCAAACGCACATTTATAATCTATGCCACAAGGACGGAGCGCCACCTTTTAAATGAATGAAAATTACGCCATCTAGAAGGGAGATCGAAATGAGTTTTTGTCACAAGATACTACATAGATAGTGCTTTACATGTTTTGATGCAATAATATCAAAACGGGCTTTGGGTGCCGAACGCCCTTCTTGTTCCCAATGCTTCAATTTTAGTTGAATTGAAGTGATTAAGACAGTTGAAATAAGATCTTAATATCGCTCCTGTACTTGATATATTAATACAGGCCTACGTGTTGGTTTCCTCGCGTATTTTTGGTTTTAGATAATTTTACTTTTTCGTTTTAGTAAAGCACACTTTGTTAAGTAGGATTTCGTAAATAGTTGTTGACATTCGACGTGACCACTTTTCAGTTTAGCACTCCTGCTAATGTGGGCGGTGCCAGCGGCCGGCCGGCCGGCGTGACGAGTACGGTGTCCGTGCCGCATGCGGTCGCTTCGGGCGCCGTGCGGAGATCGAATGTCGTCAAGGAAGTGGAGCGACTTAAGGAGAATCGAGAGAAACGTCGCCAAAGGCAGGCAGAACTCAAGGAAGAAAAGGTAATGACAAGTTCAATGTTTTTTTACAAATTTCAAATTAGGTCAAATTGTCCTTTAGGTAAAATAATAGGTAAAATATAGATAAAATAAATAAATATAGGTAAAATAAATTTACACTTTAGAACATCATTTTTAAGCTACTGTTCGTTCACTGTGCTGACTTCCCTGAGAAGGACGAGCAAGGAACTCTAGGGATTGCTGTTTTCAAAAGAACTTAAATGCTATGCAATTATTGTCATATAATCAAATTTGTGTGGACTCTGGAGTCGTGTCGTCTGCCCATACATTTGAAAAAGAAAAGACTTCCTCAATTACCCCCATTCTCTATGTGCACTCTCGAAAGCTTCCTCCATTATTGCCGCACGTGTTGCCTTTACTTATTTCACTGTTATCGAACGTACTGAAATCAAATCGACAACTAATTATTCTATAAATAATTTTTTTTTTAATTTTTAGCTGCGGGATGAATCTAGAATGCTGAATAATATATTAATAAATAGCTGATGCTAACAAATCGACCCCTCCTACGTAAAGTATCGTATGTCGAAATTGCCAAGTTTACAGGGAAGCGTTTTAAAGTTCTCCGTTTTATTCGGCAAAACTCGTTACTCAAATAGAGTGATCATCTAATAAATCCTCTAATCGATATCTAGGATTTTATAATACTCTATGTGAGTAACGAGCTTTGTCGAATAAAACTGAGAAATGCTAAAGTCACATGTTGTGCTTATTTCAGTGAATTCAGAATATTTAAAAGGCTCCTCTGTAAACTTGGCAATTTCGACATACGATACTTTACGTCGGAGGGGTCGAAATGTACATCTTATCCAATAATAATTCATTATTTTACACTTAATGTTTATTAATTCACGGCAGATGACTATTCTTCTGTTTAGCAGAATATCAGCGGCGCTATTAAACAGTCCGCCATTTTGTTGAGCTACAAACCTTTTTATCTAACATTACAATTATCTAATATTAAACTCTATGTAATATGTTGTGATAAATAAACAAATTTATTTTGCGTTGGTTTGTCAAAATAGCTTTTTTATTATTATTATTTAACTATTATTTGGATAATGCCATAAAATGGGTTCTGGAAAATCGTCCTGCTTTTGACAGTTTAAATTAAATGAGGAAAATCGAAATGTCTTTATTATCTTTCACAAAGAAACCTATGGTCCCCACATGTTATTGAATATCTATATTTGTGAAAGTCTAGTATCCATACTAGGATTAACCTGTGTTATAGAGCACCAGGCTATTCGTAAGAACGATAGACATAATACAAAAGGATACGTGTACTTAAACAATTTTACAAGATAAAGCAAAATAAAAGCAGTAAATAAAATAAAACAGTACAGAGTATTAAAAAAACCGACCTCAAATGTCATTCATCCCTAGTTTGCCACCCTTAGAGGTGGAATATTTTCTTCAAATTTAAATGGGAACAATACTCAGGTACCCTCTTTCCAACAAAAAAAGAATCATCAATCCAGTTATCGCGTACCATACTTAAAAAAACAGTCGAATTGAGAACCTCCTCTTTTTTTTAAAGTCGGTTAAAAATGAAAATTAACTGTTTTAAATTAAGGAAGAGATTTCCATTCAGTGTCAAAACTTCAATTTTCAAAACTGTGTAATGGTTTAGCATCTGAAAAGTCGCCCTCTAAATTAATTATTTGAAAGTGCACTTTATTTCCGTAAACATACAGTTATTTATATCAAATTTTTAGGTATTTTAAAACGTTTTGAAGGCATTCATCATTTTGACGCTGTTTGTCAAGCATAGTGCGAGCTCATATTGCCAACTTATTGTTTTCAGGAAGCCCTAATGAACATGGATCCCGGGAATCCAAACTGGGAATTCCTGGCCATGATCAGAGAGTACCAAAACACCATTGACTTCCGGCCGTTGCGGGGAGACGAGCCCATTGAAGATCACCAGATCACTGTGTGCGTGCGGAAACGGCCTCTCAACAAGAAGGAGGTCACGAAAAAAGAGGTACCTCATCATTGTCTGTGAACATATTCAATGAGTAATTATCAGAAATAATCGGCGATAATGTTCCTAAAGTAATTATAATCATTATAATCGAACATAA